TTGTGTCTCACGTCTTGTGTCTCACGTCTTGTGTCTCACGTCTTGTGTCTCACACCTTGCGTCTCACACCTTGTGTCTCACTTGTGTCTCACTTGTGTCTCACTTGTGTCTCACACTCTGTGTCTCACGTCTTGTGTCTCACACCTTGTGTCTCACTTGTGTCTCACGTCTTGTGTCTCACGTCTTGTGTCTCACACCTTGTGTCTCACACCTTGTGTCTCACTTGTGTCTCACTTGTGTCTCACTTGTGTCTCACGTCTTGTGTCTCACGTCTTGTGTCTCACTTGTGTCTCACGTCTTGTGTCTCACTTGTGTCTCACACCTTGTGTCTCACTTGTGTCTCACACCTTGTGTCTCACTTGTGTCTCACGTCTTGTGTCTCACACCTTGTGTCTCACTTGTGTCTCACGTCATGTGTCTCACGTCTTGTGTCTCACACCTTGTGTCTCACGTTTTGTGTCTCACCCCTTGTGTCTCACGTCTTGTGTCTCACGCCTTGTGTCTCACATCTTGTGTCTCACATCTTGTGTCTCACACCTTGTGTCTCACGTCTTGTGTCTCACGTCTTGTGTCTCACGTCTTGTGTCTCACGTCTTGTGTCTCACGTCTTGTGTTTCACTTGTGTCTCGCGTCTTGTGTCTCACGTCTCGTGTCTCACGTCTTGTGTCTCACGTCTTGTGTCTCACACCTTGTGTCTCACGTCTTGTGTCTCACTTGTCTCTCACACCTTGTGTCTCACTTGTGTCTCACGTCTTGTGTCTCACTTGTGTCTCACGTCTTGTGTCTCACGTCTTGTGTCTCACGTCTTGTGTCTCACTTGTGTCTCACGTCTTGTGTCTCACTTGTGTCTCACGTCTTGTGTCTCACTTGTGTCTCACTTGTGTCTCACGTCTTGTGTCTCACGTCTTGTGTCTCACTTGTGTCTCACGTCTTGTGTCTCACGTCTTGTGTCTCACTTGTGTCTCACGTCTTGTGTCTCACTTGTGTCTCACGCCTTGTGTCTCACGTCTTGTGTCTCACGTCTTGTGTCTCACGTCTCGTGTCTCACGTCTTGTGTCTCACACCTTGTGTCTCACACCTTGTGTCTCACACCTTGTGTCTCACACCTTGTGTCTCACGTCTTGTGTCTCACTTGTGTCTCACGTCTTGTGTCTCACTTGTGTCTCGCGTCTTGTGTCTCACGTCTCGTGTCTCACGTCTTGTGTCTCACACCTTGTGTCTCATGCCTTGTCTCACATCTTGTGTCTCACGTCTTGTGTCTCACGTCTCGTGTCTCACGTCTTGTGTCTCACACCTTGTGTCTCATACCTTGTGTCTCATGCCTTGTCCCACGTCTTGTGTCTCACGTCTTGTGTCTCACGTCTTGTGTCTCACGTCTTGTGTCTCACACCTTGTGTCTCACACCTTGTGTCTCACGTCTTGTGTCTCACTTGTGTCTCACGTCTTGTGTCTCACTTGTGTCTCGCGTCTTGTGTCTCACACCTTGTGTCTCACGTCTTGTGTCTCACACCTTGTGTCTCACGTCTTGTGTCTCACGTCTTGTGTCTCATGTCTTGTGTCTCACATCTTGTGTCTCACACCTTGTGTCTCATGTCTTGTGTCTCACACCTTGTGTCTCACTTGTGTCTCACGTCTTGTGTCTCACGTCTTGTGTCTCACGTCTTGTGTCTCACTTGTGTCTCACGTCTTGTGTCTCACTTGTGTCTCACGCCTTGTGTCTCACGTCTTGTGTCTCACGTCTTGTGTCTCACTTGTGTCTCACACCTTGTGTCTCACGTCTTGTGTCTCACACCTTGTGTCTCACGTCTTGTGTCTCATTTGTGTCTCACGTCTTGTGTCTCACGTCTTGTGTCTCACGTCTTGTGTCTCACTTGTGTCTCACTTGTGTCTCACGTCTTGTGTCTCACGTCTTGTGTCTCACGTCTTGTGTCTCGCGTCTTGTCTCACGTCTTGTGTCTCACGTCTTGTGTCTCACGTCTTGTGTCTCACGTCGTGTCTCACTTGTGTCTCACTTGTGTCTCACGTCTTGTGTCTCACTTGTGTCTCACTTGTGTCTCACTTGTGTCTCACGTCTTGTGTCTCACGTCTTATGTCTCACGTCTTGTGTCTCACACCTTGTGTCTCACGTCTTGTGTCTCACTTGTGTCTCACGTCTTGTGTCTCACTTGTGTCTCACATCTTGTGTCTCACGTCTTGTGTCTCACTTGTGTCTCACTTGTGTCTCACGTCTTGTGTCTCACACCTTGTGTCTCACTTGTGTCTCACGTCTTGTGTCTCACGTCTTGTGTCTCACGTCTTGTGTCTCACACCTTGTGTCTCACTTGTGTCTCACTTGTGTCTCACTTGTGTCTCACGTCTTGTGTCTCACGTCTTGTGTCTCACTTGTGTCTCACACCTTGTGTCTCACTTGTGTCTCACTTGTGTCTCACTTGTGTCTCACGTCTTGTGTCTCACACCTTGTGTCTCACTTGTGTCTCACGTCTTGTGTCTCACTTGTGTCTCACATCTTGTGTCTCACACCTTGTGTCTCACGCCTTGTGTCTCACGTCTTGTGTCTCACGTCTTGTGTCTCACACCTTGTGTCTCACCCCTTGTGTCTCACACCTTGTGTCTCACTTGTGTCTCACATCGTGTGTCTCACGTCTTGTGTCTCACGTCTTGTGTCTCACACCTTGTGTCTCATGCCTTGTGTCTCACGTCTTGTGTCTCACACCTTGTGTCTCACGTCTTGTGTCTCACGTCTTGTGTCTCACGTCTTGTGTCTCACACCTTGTGTCTCACACCTTGTGTCTCACTTGTGTCTCACTTGTGTCTCACGTCTTGTGTCTCACGTCTTGTGTCTCACTTGTGTCTCACACCTTGTGTCTCACTTGTGTCTCACTTGTGTCTCACTTGTGTCTCACGTCTTATGTCTCACACCTTGTGTCTCACTTGTGTCTCACGTCTTGTGTCTCACTTGTGTCTCACGTCTTGTGTCTCACTTGTGTCTCACACCTTGTGTCTCACACCTTGTGTCTCACTTGTGTCTCACTTGTGTCTGACGTCTTGTGTCTCACACCTTGTGTCTCACTTGTGTCTCACGTCTTGTGTCTCACTTGTGTCTCACACCTTGTGTCTCACTTGTGTCTCACGTCATGTGTCTCACGTCTTGTGTCTCACACCTTGTGTCTCACGTTTTGTGTCTCACCCCTTGTGTCTCACTTGTGTCTCACACCTTGTGTCTCACGTCTTGTGTCTCACTTGTGTCTCACGTCTTGTGTCTCACGTCTCGTGTCTCACTTGTGTCTCACGCCTTGTGTCTCACGTCTTGTGTCTCACGTCTTGTGTCTCACGTCTTGTGTCTCACGCCTTGTGTCTCACTTGTGTCTCACACCTTGTGTCTCACATCTTGTGTCTCATGTCTTGTGTCTCACGTCTTGTGTCTCACGTCTTGTGTCTCACGTCTTGTGTTTCACTTGTGTCTCGCGTCTTGTGTCTCACGTCTCATGTCTCACGTCTTGTGTCTCACGTCTTGTGTCTCACGTCTTGTGTCTCACACCTTGTCTCACGTCTTGTGTCTCACGTCTTGTGTCTCACGTCTTGTGTCTCACTTGTGTCTCACACCTTGTGTCTCACTTGTGTCTCACGTCTTGTGTCTCACTTGTGTCTCACGTCTTGTGTCTCACGTCTTGTGTCTCACTTGTGTCTCACGTCTTGTGTCTCACTTGTGTCTCACGTCTTGTGTCTCACTTGTGTTTCACTTGTGTCTCACGTCTTGTGTCTCACGTCTTGTGTCTCACTTGTGTCTCACGTCTTGTGTCTCACGTCTTGTGCCTCACTTGTGTCTCACGTCTTGTGTCTCACGTCTCGTGTCTCACGTCTTGTGTCTCACACCTTGTGTCTCATGCCTTGTGTCTCATGCCTTGTCTCACGTCTTATGTCTCACGTCTTGTGTCTCACGTCTTGTGTCTCACGTCTTGTGTCTCACACCTTGTGTCTCACACCTTGTGTCTCACACCTTGTGTCTCACGTCTTGTGTCTCACTTGTGTCTCACGTCTTGTGTCTCACTTGTGTCTCGCGTCTTGTGTCTCACGTCTCGTCTCTCACGTCTTGTGTCTCACACCTTGTGTCTCATGCCTTGTCTCACGTCTTGTGTCTCACGTCTTGTGTCTCACGTCTTGTGTCTCACTTGTGTCTCACACCTTGTGTCTCACACCTTGTGTCTCACGTCTTGTCTCACTTGTGTCTCACGTCTTGTGTCTAACGCCTTGTGTCTCACACCTTGTGTCTCACACCTTGTGTCTCACGTCTTGTGTCTCACTTGTGTCTCACGTCTTGTGTCTCACGTCTTGTGTCTCACGTCTTGTGTCTCACGTCTTGTGTCTCACACCTTGTGTCTCACACCTTGTGTCTCACTTGTGTCTCACGTCTTGTGTCTCACTTGTGTCTCATTTGTGTCTCACGTCTTGTGTCTCACTTGTGTCTCACACCTTGTGTCTCACGCCTTGTGTCTCACACCTTGTGTCTCACTTGTGTCTCACGTCTTGTGTCTCACACCTTGTGTCTCACACCTTGTGTCTCACTTGTGTCTCACGTCTTGTGTCTCACTTGTGTCTCACTTGTGTCTCACGTCTTGTGTCTCACGTCTTGTGTCTCACGTCTTGTGTCTCACGTCTTGTGTCTCACTTGTGTCTCACACCTTGTGTCTCACTTGTGTCTCACACCTTGTGTCTCACGTCTTGTGTCTCACACCTTGTGTCTCACGTCTTGCGTCTCACACCTTGCGTCTCACACCTTGCGTCTCACACCTTGTGTCTCACTTGTGTCTCACACCTTGTGTCTCACGTCTTGCGTCTCACACCTTGTGTCTCACTTGTGTCTCACACCTTGTGTCTCACACCTTGCGTCTCACACCTTGTGTCTCACTTGTGTCTCACACCTTGTGTCTCACGCCTTGTGTCTCACGTCTTGTGTCTCACGTCTCGTGGTGCGTATGACAGACGCTGAAGTGGTGACGCACCAGTGGACAGTGCCACGCCGGTGGGAATGCCTTGAGCTGATTGTGAGACACATTGAGCCAGCGCAGTCCGTTGAGGAGCTGCAGGACTTCCTTGCGCAACTCCCCCAGCTGATTGTACGACAGATTGAGCACCTCCAGGTCTCGGCACTGCACCAGGCCCAGGGCTGCGCTCACACACGGCGGGCACATCCCACGAGGCACCTTGAACCAACACGCGACGCACATCATCAGCAATCGGCCACGATCAATCCACCGCTGGATGAAGGCGTCCCCAAGCTGCCCGCCACCTCCCGTTGCGCTGCGAAGAGCTTCTTGTGATCTTCAGACCGGGAGGCCAATGGCCACGTTGTGAAGGTGACCTTGGAATTCAGTACTGCCACTGAATAACTCAGTGGAGTCGACATTCATTTACGAGACAAACATTTCATAGTCAGACGAAAAAATTACGATAGATTATACATTTTCTTCTGCTTGTTTACCCAGAAAATCCTCACTGAGTCTCAAGACACTTTTTTCAGGAGGGTCCTGCCAAGTTTTCACAAGAAGGAGGAGGGGGGGGGGAGGCGATATTGCTACTGTGCAATCCAAATTGAGTAATTTGCAAGTACAGTAATTGTGTTTATTTGTATTGTCATATTGGCCAATACCAGCTACATTGTATGATATTATAACAGGTGGAAAACATTCAAACTCCACACAGAGAGAGCCCCGAGTTGGGCGTTGAACCCACAGGCCGTCTTGGTGCGAGGCATGAGTGACCGCACTGCGTCACCCTGCGGCCGCCCTCCTCCCTGGCGTGGACGCCGATGCTGACTCTGCGGCTACTCCCGGAGCTATAACCCACTGTGTGCATCACCTGCTCTCTCGGGGCAGCCAAACTCGCTCAGCTGATTGTGGGAGAGGTTCAGAGTCTTGAGGTTGGTCAGCAGGAACACCTCAGCAGGCAGGGAGAAGAGGCAATTCATGGAGAGGTTGATTTCGGTCAACCTAGCCAATAGTGGCGCACAAGGTGATTCGGGCAAAAGAAACTTGAAGTTAGATCAATCTTTAAATTATTACACTTCATCGAGAAGTCATCCACTTTATCTACAATCGCCATCCTACTCCCCTTACTCACTCCCCATCCCTCTTGACCCCGCTGAGCCACGGGACATCAGAACCAACGTCCCACCACACGGAAGCCCGGTCCACACCCCGCAAGCATGGCCACCCCTTCTCCCTCCCCGCCGCCCGCAACCCGAAGCCGCGTGAACTCTGAGAAGCGCCACTCCTCTGCATCATTCGTTGAACTCATTGCTCTCGAGTGACCTGGGACGACCAGGTGGCGTTCATTACAACGTCTCCCATATCCCCCCGACAGCGGTGAATTCACAACGAAGACGGCGCACGTCCCGAGGATCCCTCACCCAGTGCAGAATATCTGCTGAGGTGTAACGCTGGGGAAACACGTCAGCTGATTGGAGGAGGCGTCGAAAGCGCGGAGCATTTTCAGACCCCATGGCACCAAGGGCGGAAGTTCCTCCAGAAGGTTTTGAGACAAGTCCATCTCCACGATGCTCTGGCTGATTTCCGCAATCCAACAGATCTTCAGATTCTGCAGTTTCAAACGCGACCATTTCACCACCAAGCTCTGAAAGTGAAAATAAATTAGCACGTCAAAACGCGATCCAGTTGTTTACTTCAAAGGGTACGTCAACATAATTATCAAGCATTCCAAATGTACCACAGGTCCCACACTGCTTGGATGTTTTCGCTTTTTCAAGAGTGTCCTGGATTGGGACGTTTGGCAGATGGGAACCAGAGAACCCAGAAGAAAACCACACAGCACAGGGGGAGAACATGGAGACACCACACATAGAGACACCACACAGAGAGACACCGCACATGGAGACACACACAGAGAGACACCACACATAGAGACACCACACAGAGAGACACCGCACATGGAGACACACACAGAGAGACACCACACATAGAGACACCACACAGAGAGACACACACATAGAGACACCACACAGAGAGACACCGCACATAGAGACACCGCACAGAGAGACACCACACACAGAGACTCCGCAAGGAGAGACGCACGAGTCAGGAATCGAACCCGGGCACTTGTATCTCTTAAACGTAAAGCCCGATGTTCATAAAGTCGGCAATGGCCCTTGTTTGAAGCGTTATTTTGGTAATTTCATGCTGCTACGCTGTGCAAGAGTTACGTTTCATTTCCCCATCACATTGTTCGAAGAGCAGCAGGACAGTCAGCTGGTTTTTCGCAGCGTCTCCGAGCAATAACGCGCAGCGTCACGCTACGCCCCAGCACACAAACTATAACTCGCAAAGCACGACTTGCATTTTACTCGTGAAGATATCAACGTTTATCTATGTATGTATATTTAATAACAGCTGCAGACATAACTGCGTAGCTATTACAACTTTGACGGTGCCGTTTGTTGCTGGCCCTTCCACGTTTCGGCCCTTTGAGGCTGCGCTCAGCAACTGCGTCGACTTGTTTCAACTCGTTCTGAAGTGCTGTCGCCAAAGCAGGATCTCTGGTATGTATCTCTTGGGCTCAGTAAGTTTCGTGTTTGTAAAGCTCATCGGCTGGCAGAGCTTTGTGAATGCGTCTCACCGAATTAAATAAACGACAGCCAATTAAACTTCAGTTACCGTGGCAGGGCTCGATTTTTCCTTCGTAACCGGAAATGTTTTGCTGCAGGTGTTCGTTACAAATGTTGTGTTTGTTTTTTCAATAAAAAAAATACTTCCCCTGGCACCGAAACAGTGAAATGTGCAAATCCGCTGAGCCGACAAGTGGCTCCATGAGCTACGCAGAGCGAGCTGCCATGGCCCACCCATTTTAGAAACGTCGGATTTGTGTTCACAGCACTGTATATGGGTGCGACAGTATTCGTAGCCTCTCAAATCAACGAATATCGTGCGATCATCCGCACTTGTTGCAATGGCGAACGCATTTCTAACATCACACGGACGCGTTGACGGAGGTATGGACACACAGAGGGAAACCCATCTAACCCTCGATTGTAACATCTACGTCTTCCGTATCCACGATGCCAGAAAAGATCCCAGGCAAGGATTATTCAGCATCGTAAAGCTCGCCACGAGACGGAGAAGCTTGTGCAATCTGAATGTGGGTTCGTGGCGGGCATGGTCCTGCAGGAAATGTCTCGGGAACGTCGACACCTCTGCTTCCCTCGTCTGATAACGGCCAAGAGGTCAGGGCCCTTGCCCATGCTCTGTGCCTTCGGTCGTTTACGGGACTTACATTTGCCTCGTCACCATCGATCTCCGACGCACGATCAGAGGCATCTTCCGCCACGGACGCCTCCTCCTCCTCCTCCAGTGTAACCGCCAACCCCGGCTCGGCGCTCATCCTCACGGCGCTCGCCAAGGCCACGTCCTCGCAGCTCCAAGCGCAGCAGCCTCCAGCTAGGCTGCGAGACACGAGGCCGTCACCAATCAGACTAAAATCAAGCAGAGGTGTTCGCAGCCAATCATTCAGAATTATGATTTTTGAGTTAGGGGATGTGATGATTTGGCCAAATTTGTGTAGTTAAGACCCTACGCCACTCGACACAGCAACACACACAAAATACAAGTACATTTCTAAACACATACCATCAGCCATACAGCATTCCGGGCAGCGCACAACCCCACAGAGCGGCAGGCTAGATGTTCAACTTCTCATCAGCAGGGTCAGGCCCGCTTGAGCCAATGCTGGTGAACTGTGAGAGATGCCCAAAGCCACACGTGGAGGGGGTTGCGTCTGTGAAGGGGACTTGGGGTCTGGCGTTAGCGGAGGGCAACGGCAAAGCGCCGATGGCCCCGCGTGGGGTCCCTCCAAGCTGCCTGCACTTCACGCGGGAGCGGACGTGGCAACACATCCCGCTGCACCTCTGCACCGAGGGAGAGAAGCAGCCGTGAAGTGTGGCCGGAGGGGTGTGCCTAGAGCAGTGGTTCGTCACCTTTACTACAGCCTTGCACCGCTTTTGGTTTGCATTCTGACCACAAGTATCTGTGGTTAATGCAGCACACATGATTCCTTGTAAAAGGTTTCAGTTTGGTGTTTTAACATCTTAACACCTGTTTTGTTGCCAAAAAAAAGGGGGAAACCCTATTATCAATGTATAATGTTATTAAATACGTAGGGTGAATGAAACTAAATAAGTTGGAACTTAACGTGCCCCGTACTCAATTTGTGTTTCGATTATTTACCTTCTCAAAACATCTGGCGTGTCTCGCAACCCCAGGCAGTGTGTGCACCCCGGGCTAAGAAGAAGAACCACTGGCCTAGAGTAATGGTGGGACGCAGCTGTGGACAGCTGCCACACGACGCGTGGAACACACGGGCTCCCTACAGACGTGACGGTACTGCAGTGTGATTAGTAACAGCACAGACGGCGTGGCGTGGAGTTGGTGCTGCGGTGCCAGTGGTGTCCTAGCGCAGAGAACAAACTCGTCACACGCCAAGGTCGCTGCGTCACTACAGCCGTCACGTCAACTCCTCTCAGCAGCAGCAGCACACAACCCTCACCTGTGCCACAACAACACGACCCTCACCTGTGTGTTACAACAACAGCACACGACTCTCACCTGTGTCACAACAGCAGCACACGACTCTCACCTGTGTCACAACAACAGCACACGACTCTCACCTGTGTCACAACAGCAGCACACGACTCTCACCTGTGTCACAACAACAACACACGACTCTCACCTGTGTCACAACAACAACACACGACTCTCACCTGTGTGTCACAACAACAGCACACGACTCTCACCTGTGTCACAACAACAACACACGACTCTCACCTGTGTGTCACAACAACAGCACACGACTCTCACCTGTGTGTCACAACAACAGCACACGACCCTCACCTGTGTGTTACAACAACAACAACAGCACACGACTCTCACCTGTGTGTCACAACAACAGCACACGACCCTCACCTGTGTGTTACAACAACAACAACAGCACACGACACTCACCTGTGTCACAACAACAACACACGACCCTCACCTGTGTGTCACAACAACAGCACACGACCCTCACCTGTGCCACAACAACAACCCACGACTCTCACCTGTGTCACAACAACAACACACGACCCTCACCTGTGTGTCACAACAACAACAGCACACGACTCTCATCTGTGTCACAACAGCAGCACACGACTCTCACCTGTGTCACAACAACACACGACCCTCACCTGTGTGTCACAACAACAACAGCACACGACTCTCATCTGTGTCACAACAACAACAGCACACGACTCTCACCTGTGTCACAACAACAGCACACGACTCTCACCTGTGTGTCACAACAACAGCACACGACTCTCATCTGTGTCACAACAACAGCACACGACTCTCACCTGTGTCACAACAACAGCACACGACTCTCACCTGTGTCACAACAACAGCACATGGCTCTCACCTGTGTGTCACAACAACAGCACACGACCCTCACCTGTGCCACAACAACAACCCACGACTCTCACCTGTGTCACAACAACAACACACGACCCTCACCTGTGTGTCACAACAACAACAGCACACGACTCTCATCTGTGTCACAACAGCAGCACACGACTCTCACCTGTGTCACAACAACAACACACGACCCTCACCTGTGTGTCACAACAACAACAGCACACGACTCTCATCTGTGTCACAACAACAACAGCACACGACTCTCACCTGTGTGTCACAACAACAGCACACGACTCTCACCTGTGTGTCACAACAACAGCACACGACTCTCATCTGTGTCACAACAACAGCACACGACTCTCACCTGTGTCACAACAACAGCACACGACTCTCACCTTTGTCACAACAACAGCACATGACTCTCACCTGTGTGTTACAACAATAACAGCACACGACTCTCACCTGTGTGTCACAACAACAGCACACGACCCTCACCTGTGTATTACAACAACAGCACACGACTCTCACCTGTGTCACAACAACAGCACACGACTCTCATCTGTGTCACAACAGCAACAGCACACGACTCTCACCTGTGTGTCACAACAACAGCACACGACTCTCACCTGTGTCACAACAACAACAGCACACGACTCTCACCTGTGTCACAACAACAGCAGCACACGACTCTCATCTGTGTCACAACAACAGCAGCACACGACTCTCACCTGTGTCACAACAACAGCACACGACCCTCACCTGTGTGTCGCAACAGCAACACACGACTCTCACCTGTGTCACAACAACAGCACACGACCCTCACCTGTATCACAACAGCAGCACACGACCCTTACCTGTGTCACAACAACAGCACACGACTCTCACCTGTGTCACAACAACAGCAGCACACGACTCTCACCTGTGTGTCACAACAACAGCACACGACTCTCACCTGTGTCACAATAGCACACGACCCTCACCTGTGTGTTACAACAACAACAGCACACGACTCTCACCTGTGTGTCACAACAACAGCACACGACTCTCACCTGTGTGTCACAACAACAGCACACGACTCTCACCTGTGTGTCACAACAGCAGCACACGACTCTCACCTGTGTGTCACAACAACAGCAGCACACGACCCTTACCTGTGTCACAACAACAGCACACGACTCTCACCTGTGTCACAACAACAGCAGCACACGACTCTCACCTGTGTGTCACAACAACAGCACACGACCCTCACCTGTGTGTTACAACAACAGCACACGACTCTCACCTGTGTGTCACAACAACAGCACACGACTCTCACCTGTGTGTCACAACAACAGCACACGACTCTCACCTGTGTGTCACAACAACAGCAGCACACGACTCTCACCTGTGTGTCACAACAACAGCAGCACACGACTCTCACCTGTGAGACGCAGCTTTACCCGTGTCTCGCCATCGCGAGGCGGTGGTCCCAGCGCTGCCGGGGACATCTCCCACGTGGCTCGCGGTGCGCGGGGCGGATTATCTCACGAGCCCCATCCTCCTCCTCCACGCGACACCTCGACACTGCGAGTGGCCGGCGGTGCGCTCCCCTCCACCACCGAGTTGTACCCCGTCCGTGTCAGGGCTCTCGGCGAGCGTCTGCGCTGTGGGGAGAGGCCGAGGGATGGGCCGACATGGTGGTGGTGGGTGGTGGTGGTGGTGGTGATGCAGAAGAGAAAGGGGAAGTCCAAGGAGCTGCAACTGCTGCATCCTGGACAGCGACTTCCCCATTGCAGCGCGACCTCCCTCCTCCCGCGTGTTGTGGGTACAGTGTCAGCCACTCTGCCCACCACGACCACCACCACCAGCGCCGTGCCTCTCCGCATACAGCACTCGCTAACGCGGCGCTGAGGTCGTTCACGATGAACTTTCTTTTGCTGCATTCACGGTAACCGAATGGGAAACTGGTTACGCCGTTAATTTGCCGCACGTGCTGATAGAAATGCCTCCGAGCGAGTGTGACAATTTTTATTTTGCTGCATTCACGGTAACCGAATGGGAAACTGGTTACGCCGTTAATTTGCCGCACGTGCTGATAGAAATGCCTCCGAGAGAGTGTGACATTTTTTACCGAAAAGGTTCTGGAATAATGAGGGGGTGTTATGATGGGAGTTGGGGAATGGGAGAGGGGGGCACCTCGTGACCGGCTGGGGAGCTCCGTGCGGGGCGCTGCTGCTGCTCGTGGAGTGCAAACCCCGGGGTGGAATAGATGGAGGAGTGGAATGGATGGGGGAGTGGAATGGATGAGGGAGTGGAGTGGAATGGATGGGGGAGTGGAATGGATGGGGGAGTGGAATGGACGGGGGAGTGGAATGGACGGGGGAGTGGAATGGACGGGGGAGTGGAATGGACGGGGGAGTGGAATGGACGGGGGAGTGGAATGGACGGGGGAGTGGAATGGACGGGGGAGTGGAGTGGACGGGGGAGTGGAATGGACGGGGGAGTGGAATGGACGGGGGAGTGGAATGGACGGGGGAGTGGAATGGACGGGGGAGTGGAATGGACGGGGGAGTGGAGTGGAATGGATGGGGGAGTGGAGTGGAATGGACGGGGGAGTGGAATGGATGGGGGAGTGGAATGGATGAGGGAGTGGAGTGGATGAGGGAGTGGAATGGACGGGTGAGTGGACGGGGGAGTGGACGGGGGAGTGGAATGGATGAGGGAGTGGAGTGGAATGGATGAAGGAGTGGAATGGATGGAGGAGTGGATGGGGGAGTGGAATGGATGGGGGAGTGGAATGGATGGAGGAGTGGAATGGATGGGGGAGTGGAGTGGATGGGGGAGTGGAATGGATGGGGGAGTGGAATGGACGGGGGAGTGGAATGGACGGGGGAGTGGAATGGATGAGGGAGTGGAGTGGAATGGATGGGGGAGTGGAGTGGAATGGACGGGGGAGTGGAATGGATGGGGGAGTGGAATGGATGAGGGAGTGGAGTGGATGAGGGAGTGGAGTGGATGAGGGAGTGGAATGGACGGGTGAGTGGACGGGGGAGTGGAATGGACGGGTGAGTGGACGGGGGAGTGGAATGGATGAGGGAGTGGAGTGGAATGGATGAAGGAGTGGAATGGATGAAGGAGTGGAATGGATGGAGGAGTGGAATGGATGGGGGAGTGGAATGGATGGGGGAATGGATGGGGGAGTGGATGGGGGAGTGGAATGGATGGGGGAGTGGAATGGATGGAGGAGTGGGATGGATGGGGGAGTGGAATGGATGGGGGAGTGGATGGGGGAGTGGAATGGATGGGGGAGTGGAATGGATGGAGGAGTGGAATGGATGGGGGAGTGGAATGGATGGGGGAGTGGAATGGATGGGGGAGTGGAGTGGATGAAGCCGACCTGCTGGGTGACGTCACCACACCAACTATTTGTTCAATAGAATAACTTTCTATGGAACCTTTTTGGCAGTATCAAAATGATGGGGGGGGGGGGGGGACACGAGTATTAAAACATATGAGTATTTTACTCCCTTTCTGGCAATAAAACAGGTGTTAAGATGTTCAAACACCAAATTGTATCGGTGCTTACTGGCGTGTTTGTGTCTATTGTATATTGTCATAACTATTTTATCAAATATTAAAAACACCAGGTGTACACTCACGTACAATCAATGGTAGAACAGATGGACAAACGACAATTGAGTTTGGCAGCAGCGTTCATGAAACACACTTTGTACTGCAGTATTGCAATGTAAACAATTGCGTGTGCGCTGTGCACTCTATGAACATGACCTGCAGATCGGAATTATTCCCGTAATTGGTTCGATTCTGCCCAGTAGTGTGGTTATGCTTTTTTATAGCGTCTGTCAAAACTAAATTAAACAATTCACGTTTAAAGTTAATATACGCGAATTATATTAACTTCCATAACCAACTGATTATCACGGTTGGCTACGTACGGTGCGAAATAAGTTCAACGTAAGTAATAGCGGTCAAATTTTGATTTAAAGCTTTCGTGACTGCAGTAATTCATATTCTTAGCTCTTTCGGTAAAGTCACGTTGAAAGGAAACAATAAAATAAGACAAAAATATAAAACAATACAAATTCTCACGACGTTTCGACCATAACACAAACGGTCGTCATCACAAATATAGATTACTAACTTTTTTGCCCGTCCAAGGACGGGTGATATTGCAGTAAATCTGAAATATCCAATAGAAAAATTGTTCAGCTCACGATTATTAATGAGGGGGGTTGCCCCATGTGGCGTGACGTCACGCGCGGGACGGACAGACATTTCTGGGTGATTATAGGAGGTAATATTACAAATTGGGGCACTTCAATACGCGGCCATAGTCGCCTCAAACGCCGAGTGGAGGAGGAGGTGGTGGTGGAGGTGGTGGAGGTGGTGGTGGAGGTGGTAGTGGAGGTGGTGGTGGTGGTGGTGGAGGAGGAGGTGGTGGTGGAGGTGGTGGTGGAGGTGGTGGTGGAGGTGGTGGTGGAGGTGGTGGAGGTGGTGGTGGAGGTGGTGGTGGAGGTGGAGGTGGTGGTGGTGGAGGTGGTGGAGGTGGTGGAGGTGGTGGTGGAGGTGGTGGTGGAGGTGGTGGAGGTGGTGGTGGAGGTGGTGGTGGAGGGGGCAGCAGCGGGCAAGCCTGGAGGGCACCTCTCGGGCACTCCCCCACGCGCCCGCAACACCCACACACAATCACACCCATTACACACAATCACACCCATTACACACAACCACACCCATTACACACAATCACACCCATCACACAACCACACCCATCACACACAACCACACCTATTACACACAATCACACCCATCACACACAATCACACCTATCACACACAATCACACCCATCACACACAATCACACCCATCACACACAATCACACCCATTACACACAACCACACCCATCACACACAACCACACCCATTACACACAACCACACCCATTACACACAACCACACCCATTACACACAACCACACCCATCACACAATCACACCCATCACACACAATCACACCCATCACACACAACCACACCCATCACACACAATCACACCCATCACACACAATTACACCCAACACACACAACCACACTCATCACACACAACCACACCCATCACACACAATCACACCCATCACACACAATCACACACATCACACACAATCACACCCATCACACACAACCACACACATAACAATCACATCCATTACACACAACCACACCCATCACACACAACCACACCCATCACACAACCACACCCATCACACACAACCACGCCCATCACACACAACCACACCCATCACACACAATCACACCCATCACACACAACCACACACATCACAATCACACCCATCACACACAACCACACCCATCACACAAAACCACATCCATCACACACAACCACACCCATCACACACAATCACACCCATCACACACAATCACACCCATCACACACAATCACACCCATCACACACAATCACACACCATCACACACAACCACACCCATCATACACAATCACACCCATCACACACAACCACACCCATTACACACAACCACACCCATTACACACAACCACACCCATTACACACAACCACAGTCATCACACACAATCACACCCATCACACACAACCACACCCATCACAATAACACCCATCACACACAACCACACCCATCACACACAACCACATCCATCACACACAACCACACCCATCACACACAATCACACCCATCACACACAGTCACACCCATCACACACAATCACACCCATCACACACAATCACACCCATCATACACAACCACACCCATCACACTCATCATATCCATCACACACCATCATCCTCATCATGCAACCATCACACCCATCATACGCATCACACTCATCATCATACAACCATCACACTCATGATACCCATGACACACCATCACACTCATTCCCATTACACACTCGTCATACACCATCACACCCATCATACACCATCATACACCAGAGCGGGATGTTTTGTCATCTTTCCCAAACCCTTTTTTATAACTATTTAACTGCCGATCTCGGCTTCAAAACTGTACGGGGAACTGGACACTGGCATTCACGAGCTGCGTGCTCAATCTCACGATAATTTGGTTGCTTCGGCGTTTAACAGTTTTCGTTTAAAACTCTTAAGTCCCCTGTGCTGCTGCTGCTTTGCTACTGCCACGACTACCTGCAGGCATCACGCTGTCGCCCCCACGGGCAATGAAGACACCCCGCTGCTACTGCTGCTGCAAGTGGCCCTAGGTTTGAACGCGTTCACAGAGACAGCGATTCCCACACGTGGCGCTGAGAGGCGCGCTGCCTCCGCACGAGTTCATCCGCCCCACCCAGATACTCGCCTTGGCAGCGCCGTGATACCAGGGGGTCTGCTGAGCGACTGACGGGGATAAAAAAGAGCCAGCTGCCATCGCCTGATCCCAGCAATGCACAGCAGCAGCAGAATCGCCATAATCGGTGGTGTCATCATTGCCCTTGGGGGTGACTGGCGAACAAGAAAACATCTTAAAGTGACTATGTGACTGTGCAAACAGAAAATCCATGAAAAAAACAGCAAAATATTCCTGAAAAAAGCACCGTACACCAACGCTCTGTGCAAAAAATCCCAGTGGGATGCAAGTCCAACAACAACAGTCTAACTCCGTACTACAACAAAACAAACATATCCAAACCAAAAATTTTTTTTGTTTTTTTTTGTTTTGTCACATCAGCATGCCCCCAGGCCGCTCTTCTGGCAATGCCAACTTTACACATTGGCACTGCCGCTAACCACATGAGCTGGTCCTCTTGGGCTGGACGCGAATGTGACGACTTGTGTTTGGCAGCAGCAGCAGTAGCGGCGGCAGCTCTCTG